CTCTCCCTCAGATCCCACCATGTCCCTTTTGACATCCCGGCAGCGTCTCTCTGAGGCTCGCTTTTCTCCTAGACTGGGAACGGGCAGGCTCCTGTGATCGCTGTCTGCATGGAGGCCTTCTGTCCTTGATTCAGGCCCAGTTCTCTGCTCCCATCCTCATGCCAAGTTAGCGGGGTTAATAATTTACGAAACCCTTTCTGTTTTCCTCAAAAAGGCAATGGACCACGATGAGACTAATGGATATTTTTAAGACTTCCTGGACTATTTAGTACAAACACTTAAGTTGTTTCTATTTTCATTTTTTTATTACTTAAAAAAATATGTTTATTGATTTAGAGAGGAAGGGACAGGGGATCAAGCCAGTAATCCAGACATGTGCAATGACTGGGAATTGAACCCTGATCCCCTGGTTCACAGGTTGATGCTCAACCATTGAGACACACTGGCAGGGCTATGTTTTCTTTTTTTTTTTTTTTTTTTAAATATATATTTTATTGATTTTGTACAGAGAAGAAGGGAGAGAGATAAGAGTTAGAAACATCGATGAGAGAGAGTCATCGATCAGCTGCCTCTTGCACACCCCCTACTGGGGATATGCCCGCAACCAAGGTACATGCCCTTGACCGGAATCGAACCCGGGACCCTTCAGTCCCCAAGCTGACGCTCTATCCATTGAGCCAAACCGGTCCCGGCTATGTTTTCATTTTTAAATAATGCTGCTGTAGAAGGTAACATTGATTATACATTTTTGTTCCCATTTAAGTTATTTGAAGAGGAATTGCTAGAATAAAGGGTTTGTACCTTTTTTAAGGTCTTTGATACATATTGCTGTTGTGGGGTCGAACCCTGGGTTTAAATAAGACCACCAGAGGCTGATGATTTATTAAAAAAAAAAAAAGCAGGCAAGAATTTATTGAAATATCTGGCCAGGGCAGCCGCAAGAGCACCACACGCAGGCGGACTCCAAATGACTGCGAGGCTTTAGGGGCAGGTAGTTATTTTTAAAGGTTCTGAGAAGGAAAACCCCTATTTTGCAACAAACTGTTGTTTGGAATTTTCTGCTGTTCTTCCTAGATAAAATGTTGCTTTCTAGTTTGCTTTAGCCTGTTTGAAGAATGATGAAGATAAACTTAGCTGTCTGACCTTGTAGGCCAGAGACCAGATTTGCCCACAATCTCAATACCATGCCAGGTGCACTTTCTCAATTGGATAGAACAGCATTGTTTTTCAAGGCCAGCATCGAGATAACCACTAAGTGCACATAGGGCTGGCTCTTTAATGAAAAAGAAAGTTCTGCCTGTAACCTTGCTTAGAATTTGAATTCATCCTATTTCATTGCCACGTTGCTGCCCTTCCTGGCAATGAGAGTATTTTTCTTTTTAATAAGCCAAACTGGAGTTGACCAATCTGTTTATTAGAATTTAAGGAAGTTATGAATTTAATATGCAAGTAACTAAATCGGATGGAGAATAAGGAGGTGTCCCTAGCTTTGGGCAGGAAGTTATTCAGCTGAAATAATAAAAACAGGAATTCATAAGAAAGTGCTATAATTCTGGCCGAAACCGGTTTGGCTCAGTGGTAGAGCGTCGGTCTGCGTACTGAAAGGTCCCGGGTTCGATTCCGGTCAAGGACATGTACGTTGGCTGCGGGCACATCCCTGGTGGGGGATGTACAAGAGGCTGCTGGTCGATGTTTCTCTCTCATCGACGTTTCTAGCTCTCTATCTCTCTCCCTTCCTCTCTGTAAAAAATCAATAATATATATATTTAAAAGAAAGTGCCATAATTCTGGACTGCAAAAAATAATTCCTCACTTGAATTTAGGCACAAGGTCAAGATACAGACTTTAAAACTATTATTTCCCTCATCACAGGATAGGGAAAACCCAGCTCCTCTCTCCAGTTCCATGGGACCGCTCTGCCTAACGTGGGTCCTCACAGGGCAGCAGGAGCTCCCCTTGACCAGAAGCAGATGCTGCGATAAACGGTCATAGGCCGCTAAGGACAGCGCTACCGAAATCCCTGGAAGTGGGTGAGCCAGAGAGGTCAGATGAGCCTTAAAAGCAGAGCTTTCTCCCGCTGAGGACAGAAGAGGAAGTCAGATTCCTAGAATGAGAAGGACTTGACTAGCGGTTTTTCTTTCTTTTTCTGCTGGCTCTCAGATACACAGGCCACATGCAGAGACTGGAATGAGGTCTCGAGAGCTCAGGGCAAATGCCAGCTGCCAGCCCCGAAGGATCTCACTTCTGTAGCCATAACCGGAATTTCGCCAGCAGTCTGACTGAGCTTAGGAGTGGATTCTCCCTGACAGTTTCCAGAGAAGAACACAGACCTGCTGACAGCTTCATTTCAAGTTTGAGAACTCAGTTGAGCCATTTGTGCCTAGATAGCTGACCCACAGGAACTGTTGTTGCAGGCCACCAAGTTCAGTCACTGTTTACAGCAGCAATGGGAGACTAAGATAATGATTATGGGAAGAGATGAAACAAATCATTTATTATTAGAATAAAAGGTTCATAATTCTGTTTATTCATCTATAACATAAAGTACTGGTAATGAAACAGACTAAAACAGTCATCATAAAAAATACATTATTAGCAAGTTCTATATTTATAACTGTTTTGTTGTTTGCTTATGCCCTTCATCTTACCACCTATTATTGAAATCTGCATGTATTTCATTGCCTTATCATTTTTATGCATGTTATGTAAAAAATGTATGGATCTAGTTTCTTAGTTAATGCTATGGTAATTTTCTAAGGTTATTAAATAACCTTAACAAACATTTCTTATACTTCAGTAATATTCTCCTGTTTGATTCTGCCATACTTTATTTAGCTTTTCCTCATAATCTCTGATAGTGAGTCTATTTTTTCTATATTGTTATATTCCTTGCACTCGACAATTTCAGGCAAAAAATATATATGCCAAACCCTAAGGAAATTTTCAGGTAATATTATGTTAAATTCATATTGAATAAAAATTTTTTGAAAGCTGGATCTTGAAGATGGTTATGGTTTCATCAGCACAGCCTACATAGAGAGATTGCCTAACCAACCATTTAATCTATTCTTGGCTTAAAGATAAGATCTGACTTACTTTCATTGTGCTGGTGTACATTTTTTGATAGATTATGAAATTTGCAATTTTGAGGAGTAGTAATGGATAGATTTTTAAGCCTTTTGAGTTGTAATAAGTATTTATAAAGTCAATTTCAGAGACCATAATAAGTTTTACATTGCCTTTGAAGTCAGCAGTAATAAAAAGTATATATACTAAAGTAAACAGTGATTTTTGAATTTCTAATACATGCCAGACACTATATTAGAGACTTGGGATATAGTTTATAGAATAAACTTGTCAAGCTTATGTTTTCATAGAATCTGTGTGTGAATGGGAAGGGGGGAAAGGGAGGATTTATAAGGAGACAATAAATATAAAGGATATATGTGATATCAGATGCTTAGTATAAAAATATAGCAGGATATGATGATAGTGACAAAAGAGTAATAATTTAGATACTTAAGAAAAATGAAAATTTGGTTGAAATGTACAGAGGAATAGAAACTACTTCAACAGTATAAAGAAATAAGAAAATAGTTTATTAAATATTACTTTTATGTTTTTATGATTTTTTTACATAGATTTAAGTTTCGCTTGTAACTCTTTTGTCACTATCATCATATCCTGCTATATTTTTATATCCAAATATTCTTTATTTATTTTATAACTAGTTTTGATTAGAGATGTTTGTTGATTTGAAGTATTTTATTAATTTTGCCTCATTTTCTTTTAGTGTGTGGCATCACAATCTTCTATATTAATTAATTAATTAATTAATCAATTCTTTGGAATATTTAGTCCATAGACAAACAGAAATTCCTAGCATTGATTTTACAAAGGTGAAAAGCACATATTGCCTTTAGTTAGTAAAGGTAAATTATTTTATCTTACTATTTTTTTAAAATATATTTTTATTGATTTCAGAAAGGAAAGGAGAGGGAGAGATAGAAACATCAATGAGAGAGAATCATTGATTGGCTGCTTCCTGCACATCCCCTATTGGAAATCCAGCTCAAAACCCTGGCATGTGCCCTGACCAGGAATGTGACCTCTTGATTGATAGGTTAATGATCAACAGTTGAGACACACTGGCCAGGCAAGGTAAATTATTTTATAAGAGTAAAGAGATAGCAGATAAACTATTTGTTTATGTTTATTAATGAAACTATTTGTTTATTATATCAGCATTTATAATAAAAATATTTTTAATGGATGACTTTGTTCAGTAGTCATGGATTAATTTTTAAGCATATAAAATAGGTAAAGTAACTTCTTAAAAAGAAAATAAGATTTTATAGATAAATAGAAAGTGTTAAGTATATTTTGTGAAGCAGTAAAGGAATTAAGAATTTCCAATTCTGGAATTTGTTAGGTAAGATTAGCAATAAAGAAAAATACTGTTTAAAACAAAAAGAAATGTTCTTTCCAGTAGTCTCTCTTCATCTCTCTGTCTCTCCCTCTTTTAGAAAATGGGTTATGGATGACTTGGAAAACTACATTTTATAAAATATATAACTCCCTAGGATCTAGTCAGCAGTAAATTTGTATAAAATTCTCTATTAGGATTTATAACGTTAAGGAATAAGCCCCAAATGACACTGTATTGAAACTTCACAGCTAGTATTCTTAGTTTGTAATGTTTTTAGAACTAATGTAAATTTTGTTTAAAATGTTTTTCTCTTGACGATGTAACTTATGTGAGATTTCAAAATAGTTCAGAAGTGAGATATAAGAACGTGGGAGTAGGGATGACCCTTTCTACCTCATCCATAGTCCATGGTAAAGCCTGACGTTTTTCTAGAGAACTTCAGCCGCTAACACACAGTGTTTAGGGGTTTCCGAGCGGCTGTGCCTGCTAACACTGTGTTGCTGTTTCCAGTTTCCAGATATGGTCCAGGCCGCACTGAAGCCCTGCGGCTAGCCTGCGCAGACGGTCAATAATGAGCGGCGCAGCTCTGGGACTCGAGATCGTTTTTGTTTTTTTCCTGGCGTTGTTCCTGCTGCATCGATATGGAGACTTTAAGAAACAGCACAGGCTTGTAATTGTCGGGACGCTGCTAGCTTGGTACCTCTGCTTTCTCATTGTCTTCATCCTGCCTCTGGACGTTAGCACGGTAAGCGGTGAGACCGATGCTCACGGTATAAAAGACGATTGTGATCACACAGCACGTTTGAGATGTGTTAGAGCCAAGACCACTGCATTCTGTAAGGCGATCCTTATTTTCAGTTAAGTGTTGTTATATGAATTTGGTCACTAAAAAGCATAGCCAGGGAGGTACTTTGGGTCGATAGGTTGATACGCTCCAGTATCCTTTTGATTTTCACTTTGAAACCATGTATCTGTTGCTTTAGACAATATACAACCGATGCAAGCATGCTGCTGCCAACTCAAGCCCTCCCGAGCACAGCAACATTACCGGCTTGTTGGCAACCGCCACCCCAGCTCCCAGGTATTCTCTCTTTTCCCTCCCTCCCTCCCTCCCTCCGACCCTCCCTCCCTCCGACCCTCCCTCCCTCCCTCCTTTCCTCCCTCCCTCCTTTCCTCCCTCCCTCCTTTCCTTCCTTAAATATTGTAGAAGGCGAATTGTTCAAAAATTGTCAGTGTTTACCATCTGGATTTTATATTTATAAAAATTAAATCTCATTCTTTCCTCATCCTCTCCTCCCACCTCCATCCTTTGCTGGTAGACTTTTAATTACATTTTATTTTGCTTAAGTTTAAATATCACATCAATTTTAAATATTTATTGTTGTGCACAGACCTTTCAATAGATGCTAATGAGAAACTCAGAAAATGCCTGATTTTTTAATCCAGCTTCAACCCCTTTTGGAAGTGATTTCCAAAAGCTATTTTTCATCTCAGCTGCTCTCTGATCAAAAACAAAAAGGGACATGCTGCCGAAGCCGGTTTGGCTCAGTGGTAGACCGTCAGTCTGCGGACTGAAGGGTCCGGGGTTCGATTCCGGTCAGGGGCATGTACGTTGGTTGCGGGCACATCCCTGGTGAGGGATGTGCAGGAGGCAGCTGGTCGATGTTTCTCATCGACATTTCTAGCTCTCTCTCTCTCTCTCTCTCCTTTCCTCTCTGTAAAAAATCAATAAAATATATATTTTTTTAAAAAGGGGGCGGGGGCATGCATTTTCTCTTTTGCCTAATATGCAAGGTTGAGAATTAAAGGACAAGAAGGTGATTCTGTATGTGGGATATTTCTTTCATATAGCACATCATTTTAAATCGTTGGAGTTTTAGACTGAAAATAAAGTTCAAATTACCAAAAGGTTTTATTGAATTCATATTAATTTTCCAAGCAAAAAAACTAGTGTTTTTTGTGTTTGTGGATGTTTGTTCACCTTCAACTCTAAGATGAATTTTTTATTTTAAAAAATATTAAACTTTTTTTGCTTATTGAGAAAAATTGGGCAGAAGAGAAGTATATGTTTATGCCTGTATTGCATACTTTTTTCCAACCCACAAGATACATGATTGAAGAGAATCTAAAGAACACGTGACCAATATTAAAGTAGACGGTGACTCATAGGACAAAAACACATTTAATTGTAAAAGTCCAGCAGAGAAATCTCACACTAGAAAAGACAAAGTGGCAGCCTTTCTTAGGAAAATACTTAAGAGTGACAGTAGTTTCTCGATATTGATTTCAATGCGTCCTTTTAATTTTTGTACCAAAAAGTTGTCAGCACTCTTCTGCTTGTAGCAATTACCTTCCCAAAAGAATTACACATCTGGCTAACCCCCAGCACATGGGTGGTTTACTGTTCAGGTGCACACTGACTTGGTGTGAGAGCTAATAAATGTGGACTGTGTTTTTTGCCAGTGCTTTAAATATTTGCCTGCTTCTTTGTGTGGCTTTTATTTTTTAATTCTAACTCAAATAAGAGTAAATTTAAAATGTAGACACTCACCTTTGCAGCATCATGAAAAAATTGGACATAGATCAGCAGCAGTTGTACCTATGGAAAGCCCTGGGACTGAAGGGGGTACCCTTACAGTCTAGACTGTTCTATGGTCAGATACAGGTATCGTCAGAGAATTCCAACGGAATTGTGGCTAGATGCTGGCCTATGTCTCCGTAGGAGTTATGCTAGATTGGCTGATGAGTTAGCATTTCAGTTTCCAGGAATTAATCGCCCAGTGTCTTTTCTTCCCCGCTCCCCTTCCCCAAAATAACGAACCCCACAAATGGGGTGAGTGTGTATTTTAAATGTAACCATCAGTATTTAAGGGAATCACATCAGATATTTAACTTCACAATGCATTTGTTTTTCAATACTGTTGTATTATTAGTCTATTGGGTGAACATTGTGTCCCAGACGGTTTTGTTCCCTGTGTGTGTGTGTGTGTGTGTGTGTGTGTGTGTTTAGTTTGATAATCAGCTTTGAATTTTAAGTTTTAAATAAAAATCTACAAGATAAAGTCAGTAATTTAAAATCTGAATGCAAATAAACTTTGCCATATACAAATTAATTGTATACTTCATTTAATTAGTCATCATTTATGATTAATTTGCTTTAAATTGTTATCAAACAGTCCTCATCCGTGTTTCAAGCCATGGAGTTACATTCCTGATGGAATCATGCCAATTTTCTGGAGGGTAGTATACTGGACATCACAGTTTTTAACATGGTAAGTGGCAGAGAAGGATAAAACTTTTAAAATGTTGGCTGGAGTAAAATGAGAAGTGATTATTTTTCATTGAACCTTCATATTTTATAATTTACTCATGCTACTTATTTTTTCCTTCCAATTTTTTTCCTTTCCCTTTCCGCTTGTTTAAGTCTTTCCCATCTTAAAAGAAAAGAAATGGAAGAGAAAAACACAAACAATAAATAGAAAATAGAAAGAATAGTCTTCCTTTTTATTGTTGCCTTCCAGTTATTGTTTTCTCTCTGAACCTTCTCTACCTGATTCAGTCTTTTCCCAGCCCCATTGTGTGTGAAACTGCTCTTGTGAAGGCCATCATCATCTGATTTCTGCTTAGCCAACCTTCTGCCTCTCCTCCATTGGCTCTAATTCTGTGGTTCATTTCCTCAATGCTCACGTTTGTTAATATTATTCAAAATCGCATTTGTGAAAAGAACTATACAATAAAATTGAGATTCACATATTTCTGGTATTTGAAATTACAAAGACATATCAAGTATTTTTAATCATATTTTTTTCCAACTGTCTAGGATCCTCTTGCCTTTTATGCAGTCATATGCAAGATCAGGAGGGTTCTCCATCACTGGAAAGATCAAAACCGCACTGATTGAGAACGCAATCTATTATGGCACATACTTGCTCATTTTTGGAGCATTTCTAATTTATGTAGCTGTAAACCCACGTCTGCACTTAGAATGGTAAGAAACATTGTTTCTGTGTATATTTCCATTTTATAAAATTTTTATCTCATATTTGTAGGTGTAAACACATTTCATCAAGAAACATAACAAATTATATGCTTTATAGATTCCTCAAAAAGAATATCTGAATAATCCATGTTACTAAGAAGAAAAATATGGAATAACATCCACTTTACTAAAAGGGTAGTTGAGGATGTGAAGTTCTAATTTTTTTTAGTATATAAAATGTTAGCCATCCTTTCGGGTGATTGTTCTCTGAAAACCATTTAACACTAGCTGGTTTCATTCTGCCGTTTTGTTGGGAAAATTTATCACAGCTATCTGCTTCCGTCCGCTTAGGAACCAGCTTCAGACGATTGGGATCGCTGCTGCAAACACATGGGGTCTATTTCTTCTCGTGTTACTGTTGGGGTATGGCTTGGTGGAAATCCCTCGGTCATACTGGAATGGAGCAAAAAGAGGTTATCTGCTTATGAAAACTTACTTTAAGGCAGCCAAATTGATGACAGAGAAAGCAGATGCAGAAGAGACTTTAGAAGATGTCATGGAGGTAAGCGAGTTTAAACCTTCCAATCAGCCGCATGCTGTATCTCATTTTGGATCCACAGTTAGTTTGTTGTTAGCACACAGATGGACTTTAGACTTTTATTTTGCTCTTTATTTTTTAAAATATATTTTTATTGATTTCAGAGAGGAAAGGAGAAGGAGAGATAGAAACATCAATGATGAGAGAGAATCATTGATTGGCTGCCTCCTGCATGCCCCCTACTGGAGATTGAGCACACAACCTGGCCATGTGCTCTGACAGAGAATCAAACCATGTCCTCCTGGTTCATAGGTTGACACTCAACGACTGAGCCATGCCAGTGGGCCTCTGATGCCTGCTCTTAACCACTGCCTCTTTTCTCTTTGAGCACATTATTCCCAAGCTCTTAGGATGCTCTTTTCTCCACTCTCTTCTGCTAATTCCTACTTCATACTCCATTAAGATACTATCTAGCACTGGAGAACTGTACAGTCCTCTATAGTATACTAGAGGCCCGATGCACGAAATTCATGTAAGAGTATGCCTTCCTTTCCTTGGCTGCTGTCACTGGCTTCTCTCTGGGACCTGGGACCTGAGCTTCCCTTGCAGCCCAGGCTTTGTCTGGAAGGTCGTCCGGAAGGACGTCGGTCTAATTAGCATATTATGCTTTTATTATTATAGATGGTGAATTATACAAAGGAAATGCTCTCGTATAGAGAGGTCTCACTTCTGAATAGTGATCAGAGGAGGAGTGGAATGTGAGCTGGCCTGGTAGGATGGGGAGACTATTCTATAACTGGCAGCATCAGATATCAGGAGGTTTTAAAACCACATTAATTGAGTATAAGGTTTGTGTTGGAAAGATACAGTTTGTAAGGTTTGAAAAACAGTTTGTTGCCAGGTAGAGGGGCCTTGACTGTCCCATTTTGAAAGCAGTGAGGAGTCATTGCATTTTGCAAGCAGGGAGGAGCCATGATCTGTGTAGGGTGATCAGTCGGGTGGAGGTGTGCGGAGGAGAGGATAGAACTAGAATCTGAATAGTATACGTTGAGGGAAAGCACACAGGTTTTGAATCTTATAACAGACCACAGAGTTCAATCATCTTTATTTTTGTAATTAGTGATTATATTTTTCAGCTACCTATAAAATCTTCCAAATGCAGTTTTATAAAATCCAGTTTAGTGTTTTTATGTTTCTCTCTGAAGTGAATGTATACTACATCCGTGTGTCTATTCTCTTTGAAGCATTAATAAAATGTATAAGCCATGTCAAACTATTCAAGGGGTATTAGTTACAGAGCCAAAGAAGTTATTTCTACCTTTTGTCATTTCCCAAGGAAGCAGATTTGGGAGAGGGAAAAATAGTTACTTATTTCTGCTGAAAATAGCGTGACTTTATGCATGTTGCCTGGCCAGCATAATAAAGAATCAATTAGGCACAGTGATGACAGAGCTCAAAGTTATGTTGTTTTATGTGAAGAAAATAAGCTAATATTTCAGATACCTTCCACACTTTGTAAAAGTCATAAACTTTTGAAGGAAACTTATTTCTGTAACAAACGCAGCAAATATCCATAGTTAACTGTTTCAGTATTTGTTTTGGTTTAAGATGATGAAAGGTTGTAAAGGAAATATGTAATATTTCAGATGTGAATATATAACTAGTTCATATTCAAGTTTTGCTAGCAAATCAAGAAAACTTTAAGGGGGCGTAGTAATGAAAAATTGTAATATAATGATGCTCCCAGCATCTTTTAAAAACCCAAGTATCATCTCGTTACCCTTCCTCATGGACCTCAAAATAAAGTGTCATTGAGGCACCAGACTGCTTTGCTGGAGTCGTTCTTCAGCCGGCCCAGGGCTTCTCAGGCCCCCACTCTCCTGTCCCCGAGGCCACACCGGACTTTGGTTCCGTGACCTGTTCCTTTCTGCTCCAAGGCCTCCGTACACGCTGTCCCTCAGTGGGGAATAGCCTTGCCCCTTCCTCTGATGGACTGACTGCTACTCCTGCTTCTTATGTAATAATGAGCCCATCATGAAGGTCCCCCACTAAGTTACACAGCTCTCCTCACCGTTCCTACCCGGATAATGCGTTTCCAAGCTCAGAAGGCTCGTCAGGAGCAGTGCCTTCAATGCGGATTATTCATTGGGTCAGCATGTTTAAAGCTTTGGTGGGTGTTGCCAAATTACCTCCCACGTTTCACTGTGTATAGAGAGACCTGTTTCCCCACATTTATTTTTATGATTTTGTGAGGAAATTGTTCTCATTTAAAATTCATAATTGTTTTTAGTGAGCTTGAATATCTTTTCCAACATTTATCAGCCAGTTGCATTTCTTCTGCATTCTTCCATTTTCCTGTTGATTTGCAAGAGCTCTCCATATATTAATGGTAGTAATTTTTTGTCATATAAGTCACAAATATTTTTTCATAACTTTAAATGCCAGATGGATCTCCTGCCTCCAGTCTTGTATCCCTTAAGGACATTGTCCACCCAACCATGAGGCTGTTCTTTTTAATTTTCTGGTTGGTTCTTCCTTGTACATGCTGTTTATCCTATCCGACTTTTTTAAAATTATAGAATATTATTCTCTTAGAACTAATGGTTCCTTTCCCTATTCTTTTATGCCTTTCATACTCATAAAATCGCTTATTTAATTATTTTATCACTAGACTCTCATCTTAGTCCAACAGCTGTGACACCCTGTCTTCTCACCCCTCTCTCTGGTGTGGGATGGGGTGACCTTACACATTGCACAGCGTGCTCTTGATAGATAGACATGGGGGGATTCCTGAGCTGTGTGCTCTCCCACTGGACAGGAGTGGGTGCTTTGTGCTTCGTGGCATGGGTACCTGTTCTGCTGCCTCTGGTTTCCTCGCTGTATTTTAGATAATGAGATAATTCAGTTGATAAGCAAGGAGCATAGTCCTGTTCTCTCAGGGCTGCAAAGAGTGGTTGGCCTTTCGTGACGTTTTTATGATGTTTATCCATCTTTGTGTGCCAAGTAAGAAAATGATAAGAGAGCAAATCTAGAAGGTAATAAGTATGAGGATATATGGAGAACTATTATACTGGGTGGAACAATAGTAGGTTTACAGTTGTGAGTATGTGAAACAGTTTTTGTGTTATTATTAATTAACTATTGAATTATACTCACAACTGAAATCTACTCTTGCCCCACTTTGTATAATTGTATTTTTACTTGTGTTCTTAGGAATTGTATTAGTGCGTGGAACTTCATGTAAATGCTAAATACTTTGAGTTGAAATTAGACTTGTGAGAATATATGTATATTCTCACAATATATATATTCTGATTTGATACCTAAAGCATTCTGATTTGAAACAGCCAATGTATAGAAATAGAAATATTTTAATTTTTCTCACTATTTGTATAGGAGGTTCGTAAAGTGAATGAAAGCATCAAGTATAACCACCCATTGAGAAAATGTGTTGACACAATACTTAAAAAGGTAATTAAATCATACAGGCATCTATTTTCTTTTGAAATATAATGTTTTATATTATAATAAAAACATCAGTAAATTATGAAAACAGCCTATGACTGAAGTCTTTGCAACTGCTTTTTATTTTTATGGAAATACTGACCATAAATCAGTAGTAATGTGTACATAGAATTTGTTTCTTTGCATTACAAGTTTAACATTAATTATTGGCAATGTTTTGCTTTGAAATGTGGATATGGAGGTTACGTTTAGTAATGTGTGACAAGCAATTGTCACAGCACAGTAATAAAGTGTCATTGAATGTGGTCACCAAAGGCATATCTCTTGTAAGAAAATAAGTGAGGGAATTAATAATCTGTTTTCATCAGCTTCCTAAAATAAACGACATTATGAGATATAGTTAACATGGTATTTATATAAGAAGCCACACAATTCAGATTTTACTCTATTGCTGTTCCACTAAGAGTACTCATGTACTTTCAAAAATGATTCTTCAACACATAAGCTCCCTAAATATCTTCTCTGCAGCTACTGAACCACTGAACTGTCTCTTTTCCTATAGGTTAAATTTATTATACTGATGATTAGCTTGTGTTCTGTTGGCTAAGATAACAGTCATGAGAATCACTTCTCTGTTTATTTCTCTCATATTTGATACTTTTTGGGTCCTATTCAGAGAAGTTAACTAAGTTGTCCAAGTTCATAGATAATAGATGACTAATAGTAGGGCAGATAACTCTAAGGCATGTATTTGGTTCTCTATACCAGTCTTTTAAAAAATTCAAGATCTTGTGATTATTATTCAGTATTTAGCTGGGAAAATAACTGACGATTTCATTGGGTGCTTACCTAGAAAAATGAGTTTAATTCTAGGTGCTTCATGTAGGCAATGTTCCCCTGTCTTACTCATCGCCAGCTAGTTTTTCTGAGCACAAAGATTAATATTAATAGAGTAAGAAAAAACTCAGCGCCTTTTTTTTTTTTTTTTTTTTAAGAGAGAGAGAAACAACAATGTGCAGCAATGTGAGAGCGAAACATTGATCAGTTGCCTCCTGTATGCACCCCGACTGGAGATCGCCTGCAATCTAGGTGTATGCCCTGACTGGGAAGTGAACCCACAGCCTTTTGGTGTACGGGACAACACTCCAACCAGCTGAGCACTGTCCAGCGCTCAATGCATCTTTTAAAACGTTTTCCAAAAAATGCTATCCACAAAACCTCCAACTATCTAGAGATGACAATAAAGGAATATATTTTTGAGGAAATTAGAAATGCCTCAGAGTAAAAGATTTTTAATAAAAATAAAATTTTTACCTTTTTGCAGATAAGATTTTTTAAAAATCTACTTGTTCCTTTCAGTGCCCTACAGAGTATCAGGAAAAAATGGGTAGGAACATGGATGATTATGAAGATTTTGATGAAAAGCAGAATGCCTATCCAAGCGAAAAAAGTCTGGTGAAATTACATAAACAGGTAACTTTATTAATTAAAGCTATGTTACTTACTGATAATTTCAGTCAGATTTATAATTACTGTCCAGAGAAAACAAGGGAGAATTATTCATCGAATATAACTGTTACCTACACTACCAAATGTTAACTTCCTTGGCCCCATCCAAGAAATGCCACTAGCACTTCCATTGTTGTAACAACCAAAACGTGCTCCTTAAGGGGGAGTTGAACACCGTTGGGTCAGAATACTGACAGATATGCCCCTGTTCTCTTTCTCAGGTTATTTACTCAGTTCAGAGGCACCGTCGAACTCAAGTACAATGGCAGATCCTACTGGAACAAGCATTTTACCTAGAAGATGTAGCAAAAAATGAAACTAGTGCTACTCATCAGTTTGTTCACACTTTCCAATCGCCAGAACCGGAAAATAGATTTGTCCAATATTTTTATAGCCCTACAGTTGGTATGTAATTTCATATAAATTTCAAAGTTTAATGATGATAATTTTTCTGAAGGAAAAAAAAGTATATATTTTCACCAATGTGAAGTTGAATTGTATTTGTATTATTTGACTTATGTCAAGTGGTAATATTATGTATCTGGTAAACTTTCTCCCCAAAGAAAACTATTTTACTTTTCACTTGATGTATAATCTATCATTTGCACTGTTACTTCACAGATGATCAAAATTCTATGCAAAAAAATATGTGTGCTATGTCAAGCATATTTTGTATATATAATATGTATTTAAAGGAATTAGAATTCTAAGTAATTTCACAAACTTGGGTCACTCCTTCAATCTTGACATATTACAAAAATATTCCTGTAAGAAATACTCTTTGAACATTTACATTTTTTTAAAAAGATTATGTGTATTTATTTATTTATTTATTTTTAATATATTTTATTGATTTTTCACAGAGAGGAAGGGAGAGGAATAGATAGCCAGAAACATGGATGAGAGAGAAACATCTATCAGCTGCCTCCTGCACACTCCCCACTGGTGATGTGCCCGCAACTAAGGTACATGCCCTTGACCGGAATCGAACCTGGGACCTTTCAGTCTGCAGACCGACGCTCTATCCACTGAGCCAAACCGGTTTCGGCTGAACATGTACATTTATTAATCTATTTACAAAACCTGTGCTCAATAAGCATAATTATTCTATTCTCCTTTATGATTATTTATGACACTTTCTTCAGTGTTATCAAGTTTAATATGAAGAATTTAATGAAAATACCAGTGTAAGAGTATTAAAACTTCTGTTTACCTTAGGTATTCAAGTAGATGCTTATGACTCTGTTTTGTATATTTGGTTTTCAGTATGAATACCTAATGGTAGTCATAAGAAATTTCTGAGATATCTTCTTCAATGAGGATCTTTCCTAATTAAATGAGGGAATGATGTGACACTTGTTTTCACTCGTTCGACAAGTATTTGAATTCATATATGCTACGTATTATTGGGTGCTTGATATATATCAAATTAATAGAAAAGATAAAAATTTCTGCCCTTATGGAGTGAGAAAAACAGTCATTATACACATAAAGATATAAATACAGTGCTGAGTAGGTGTTTGGCTGTAGAATTAGGGGTTCAGAGCGAAGTCTGGTCTGCAGATATAAATGAGAGGGTCCTTAGTGGGCAGGTAGACCATGGGTGGGGATACATCAGTGAAGAAGTGATGGGATAGGGAAGAGAGAGTCTGAGGCCCAAGCCTGAGGCATTCCAGACTGTAGGCATCGGGCTGATGAGGAGGAGTCCACAGAACAGACTAGAAACAGAGTGGCCGATGAGATAGGAAAACTAGGACAGTGAAGTCTTTTGAGGAAAAGGGTATATAAAGCACCTTTTCAAATGTTCCAGGTAGGTTGAGTATCATGAATACTAAGACTTGCCCATTGCATTTCAGAGAGGTGAGGTCGGGTAAGGTTATAAAAAGCCTGATTGGAGTTTGAAAAAAATAAGAAGGAGAGCAGGTAGGAACAATAAGAACAGAAAACTCAAAATGTTTTCCTCGTAAAAGGGAATAGAAACAAGAGGCAGTAGCCATTTGTGAATGGCTTCTCAGAAGGAAATGAGGAGACAGAAGAGAATGGTGGAGCAGTGTTCAGGTACAGGGGAGAGGAAATGGGAAACTGAGCAGTGAAGAGAAAGGCCTAGAACAGTGGTCTGCAAACTGCAGCTCATGAGCCACATGTGGCTCTTTGGCCCCTTGAATGTGGCTCTTCCACAAAATACCACGTGCGGGCGCACACATACAGTGCGATTGAAACTTCGTGGCCCATGCGCAGAAGTCGGTTTTCGGCTCTCAAAAGAAATTTCAGTCGTCGTACTGTTAATATCTGGCTCTGTTGACTAATGAGTTTGCTGACCACTGGCCTAGGAGGTAAGGCACGGATGTACCTGAGCAGATGGGAAGATGTAACGGTGGGAACCTGGGGAGGTTTTCTTTGGCCAGCTTCTGTCTGGTCAGGGAAGTTCTGGGAGTAAGAGACTTTGGAGGAAAGAAGAGAAGGTGCAGAATAGTTGCTTAGGAGACTGTGCATGGAGAAAATTGGTGGATTGCAGTAGGCTAGCCAGGCAGCGCTCAGGTGATTAAGAATGTAAAGTGAGGCGAGCCAACAAAGTTGTGTGACTTCCCCTCAGTGACCTGCTCCACAGGTGCCGGCGCAGGGCAGCCACGGAGTTGGCAGCCAGGGTGTGGCCGAGGTTAGCCAGTATAAGGAAGTGGGAGGAAGCAAAAGGACTGGGACACTGGGGAATGGTACGCCTCAAAGACTGGAGTCTGAGCTGGTAAAGAAAGCAGTAAACAGTGAAAAGGTGATGGAATAAATGGTCTGTTGGTCCAGGCAGAGACAGTCAGTAGAGTTGGAATACTAGATGAAGGTGTTGCTTGGACACAAGGATGTTGTAATGAGATTACAGAGGAGGGTTGGGCCATTGGCAGTCAGAGGCTTAGAGAATGAGTCGTGGGTGTAGGGTGGACAGACTATTGGAGGAGAGGAAGAGGAGGAAGTGAAAGATCAGAGTTACGAAAACAGTATCACCTGTGGGGCTGTGGAAATCACCCAGAATTAATTAGCTGGGAACAGGGTTGAAAACCCTGTAGAGTGAGCCAGGATTCAGCGTACAATACGTGAAGTGAAATACCGCCTTTTCAGTTTTATGAGCTTTCTTCTTTTTTTTAACTTTTATTTTTTACCTAAAGGCAGATTTAACAAAAAGTTACCAGAATACTAACAAAGAATTTCCATGTACCATTCACTCAGATTCTCCAAATGTTAACATTTGACCGTAATCATTTTCTTTCTCTTTCTCTCTGGGTATATATTTTTTCCCTTAATCTTTTCAAAGTTGAGTCCAGACATGATGCCTTTTAACCCAGAAATGTTTCTGTGTGTATTTTTTATAAGTAAAGACATTATCTTACATAACCAAGAACAATGGTCAAAATCAAGAAATTAGCATCAAACCAATACTATTATCTGTAGGCCTTCCTTGATCCTGCTAATTGTCTCAGTAACGTCTATAAAAACCCAGGACAGGCATTGTAGTCAGTTGTCATGTTTCTCCGTCTCCTTTACTCGGGAGCAGGTTCAGTCTGTGTTTGGTGACATTGATGTCTTGAGAGTACAGGCCAGTTTGGTTTTGTCCGGGGCCCCTGGGTTTGAGTTGGAGTTCCTCGTGGTTAGATGCAGGCTCTGTAATTCTGGCAGGAGCACCGCGGCAGGGATACTGTATTCTCATCGTGCATCGCAGCAGGAGGCACCTGAGATGTTTGTCCCATTATCGGTGCTGGGTGGGGTCTGCTTGCTTCCTCCATGATAAGACTACAGTTTTCTTCTTTGCGATTGTTTATCTTACATGGAGATATTTGAAACAGTGTAAGCACCCCATTACTCTTTATGGCTTCCCTGGTAACTTTCTCCTTTTCTCCTCCAGAGTGGTACTGGGAGTGTCTCCTGCGACCGTGGTTTTACCGAATCCTGGCTGTGGTTCTGTCCATCTTCTCGGTGATCGTCGTGTGGTCGGAGTGCACTTTCTTCAGCACCACCCCTGTCCTGTCCCTCTTCGCAGTCTTCATACAGCTGGCTGAGAAGACATACAATTACATTTACATCGAGGTCGGTTTCTGTCTGTTATTAATAGGTGTCCATTCATAGTCTAACCCTCAACGGTAGCATCTTTTCCCCATAGGTTTCTTCTAGCAATAATGAAAATAGCGAAGTTACTAATTTACATTTCCAAAAAAAGAGCTTCATCAGTTTACCCAGTCTATAAAAACCAAAAGCTGTATCTGAGGACAGGTGAAAAGATACAAAATAGTGCAAAATACATCTTTTTATGCCAGCGGAGCCACATAACTTATAGTCACATGAGGAGTTGCCCAGGGAATGGGAGAGCATGCTCACTTCAGGAGGTGGATTTGGAATTTAGAGATAAAATGTGAAGATGGTCGAGATGTAGAGTTTTTTGCATACTTTCAATTTATTAAATAGAAAAAAAAAAAATCTGTTACAGTAGCTGTAGCTGGTTTGGTTCAAGTGGATAGAGCATTGTCCTGTGGACTGAAAGGTCCCTGGTTCGATTCCAGTCAAGGGCACATGCCTGAGTTGTGTACTCTATCCCTAGTAGGGGGCGTGCAGGAGGCAGCCGGTCAATGGTTCTCTCTCATCGATATTTCTGTCTTCCCTCTCCCTTTTTCTCTGTAATCAATAAAAATATATTTTTAAAAAATGTGTTACAGTATTTAAATTTTAGAATGTCAAATGTTAGCCAGAAGTAAAGGATAAGGCTGTGACAGGGTATAAAGTCCCGGGTTTTAATCTGTTACTGTTTTTGTTTTCAGATTGCTTGCTTCCTTTCCATCTTCTTCCTAAGTATCTGTGTTTATTCTACTGTGTTCAGGATTCGTGTGTTTAACTACTATTACCTGGCTTCACACCACCAGACCGATGCGTACAGCCTTCTTTTCAGTGGCATGTAAGTAGATTGTGTTCAGAGACAAGGGGGATGTCTCTGTGGCATACATCCTTATTGAGATCTCTTATTTCTTGTTTACGCGTTTTCCACTGATACCCGTATTTCTCTGAGCTAATTGATTAGGTTTAAATATTAACTGGATATTTGTTGATTGCTAGCTAATCACTGCTTAAAGGTTCAGGTTAAAATGGGGATGCTAGATTAGGATGAAAAAAGAAAGACATAGTGAACCTAAATTTACCAATTAGAGATTCCATAAATAGAGTAGTAAAAAATAGGAGCATGAGAGAGTTTGGAGACTAAATCAGACCGAGAGGGTATTCTGAGATTCAGTGGCCTCAAAAGGAAGTGTAGAGGACTGAGAAAACGAACAGGAATCATTTTTGCCAAGAAATTTAGCAAGAGTTTTGAGAGAGAGCTTCAGCTTGGGCTAGGTTGCACAATCTATTATTCTCCATGTTGTTAAATTAGATATATTGGATATTTACATATAAATATCCTAGATATAACACACACACACACACACACACACTGAGTGGCCAGACTATTATGATCTCTGAACACATAATAATAAAAAAGTCTTAGAGATGCTTTGTATATTCTATATAATAAGAGGCTAATATGCAAATTGTCCTCTCCACCAGGAATTCGACCAGCAGGCAGACTGGCTAACCACCCAAGTCCCCTCCCCGTGGCCAGGCTGGCTAGACACCTCCCATGCATGAATTCATGCACTGGGCCTCTAATAAATACGTGTGTGTGTGTGTGTGTGTGTGTGTGTGTGTGTGTGTACTGAGTGGCCAGGTAATTATGCATTCAAAGATCATAATAATGCTGGACTAGGCAGGTTTGCAGAAGAATCAATATACAAAGCATCTCTAAGACTTTTTTGTTAACCTTTTTACCCAAATAATTATAAATTCATAGGAACTTGCAAATATAATACAAAGAGTTCTATCAACCTTTCCCCAGTTTTCCCAAGTGGGGACGTTTTTTACAGCTGTTCTACAATATTCAAGCCAGGAAATTACATTTATACATTACTATTAACTAGACGACAGACCTTATTTAATTCTCACTATTTTTTATCCTTTATTTGTGTGTGTGATTCCTATAACCACAACTACAGGGTGACCCTCCCCACAAAAAAAAGTATATACACTTTAACGGCTGATAGCTCAATTTTGAAAATGAGATATATTTTAATAAACACTGCCTTTATAATTCTAAAAGTGTGTGTATACATTTTTTGGGACATTATATTTTATCACCACATTCCTCATATTACCTCTTTTTTTGTTTTTCAAGTACAGTTTACATTCAGTATTATTCTGTATTTGTTTCAGATATATAGCATACTGGTTAGATAATCATGTATGCTACAGAGTATTCCCCCTGATATTTCAAGTACCAGCCTGGCCCCACATATTACAGTTATTACAGCATTATTGACTGTATTCCCCGTGCTGTACTTTACATCGCTGTGACTATTCTGTAACTGCCAATCTGTACTTCTCAATCCCTTCACTCTCTCTCCCTTCATTTTCCTCTCTCCTCCTTTCAACTCTGTAGCTCCATATGGTTCTCTCTTTATCTGGACAGCTTGAACTCTAACAGGTCTTCATACCTAAGTTACCAGAGTGGCGTATTGGATATGGCTTCAGATCTTCCTGTTAGTGAGCAGGTCCACCTTGAGGATGTTACCATCCTCGCTGTGCTGCAGAGAGACTGCACAGGTGGTGGATTTGGAAGAAGTGTATTCAAAGGCCCTTCACCAATTCTTGGGATAAAGCAGTGCAAATACCACCCCAGCAGGCAGCCTGAGGCCACAGTTTTCCCTTGTAGGTGTTTATGTTTTTAAGGAAGATGTGATTAATAGTATTTTCAAAATGTCTTCCAAGTAAGTAGGGGAGTTTCACTTTAATAATTCAAAATACATATATTACAGCTAGATGAAAGTAATAGTTACAATGATCTGAAATGTTGTCAGTACACTTCAATACAATATAAAATGTATTTTGTTGCTTTATTTTTATACTTTCTGTTTGTAAATGCCTATTGCAGGTTATTTTGCCGTTTGACTCCTCCTTTATGTCTTAATTTCTTGGGCTTGACCCACATGGATTCCTCCATCTCTCACCAGAATACGCAACCAACTGCTTATACCTCTGTAAGTACGGTCAGCAAGCAGAGTTCTTTAGATTCATTAATTATATGGGATGTTATTACTGAGAAAATTTTTAATTCAGAAAAGTTCTAAAGCATTTGGTTCTTTTTAAAAATAACTAAACATAAGTACTAATGACTGGATGAAAGTGATTTTGCTTTCTTTTATTATAAAAAAGTGTTTTCTGGTTTACATAGGTCATCTAGCTGGTAGTAATATCTTTGGTCTTAAGGTATATGATAATATTCAGTAATGCTTACAAAATATTAACTTTCTTCAGAGGAAAATAAGCAAATTAAGATATAATCAGCATATGACATTGTATTAATTTAAGTTGTACAACATCATGATTTGAAATATACATATATTGTGAAATGATTACATAGTCAATTTAGTTAACATTCATCACCTCAGTAACAGTTTCTTTTCTTGTAGTAAAAATTTAAAAATCAGTTCATTTAGTGCTTTCTGTATACTTTTTCAAAAGCTCATGTTTATTTATATAACTGGCTATGTGTGAACTTCCTAATGACAGAAATAATAAAATATCAGGGGTCTTCTTTGTACTAATTTAACTTATTTTTTTCTACCTTTTTCTTTCTTTTTAGATTATGGGTTCCATGAAAGTTTTATCCTTCATTGCAGATGGATTCTATATATATTATCCTATGCTGGTGGTCATTCTCTGCATTGCTACTTATTTTAGGTAAGAAACCTAACATCGTTTATTTTCCCACATACTCTTACCCTTACTGGGTATCCTGTCTTCTTGCAAATCTTTTAAATACATATTGCTTGGGTTTTAGTTGTTGTTGGTTTTATTGTGGCTTTGGGGATGCTGGGGACAGTTTAAAGGGATTGTTTGAGTGATGAAGTGAGGCTTTTTTCCCGAAGATATTTTCAGGAAAAGAGAGGTAGAGTTATTCATTACAAATATTTAGGCTACAAAGTGATAGGATTAATTACAGAGTGTTAACTTGAAGTCCTGGCCTTCGACACTGATAGCCAGGTATCCTATATAATAAAAGCCCAGCAACCATAACGGCAGAGCGACAGAATGCCATTGGACCAGTCCCTATGAGGTGCACTGACCACCTCTTGGTCCTTTTCCCAGGCTCCCATCGCCCAACGAAGAATGGGGATCCAGGGGTAGGTGGCAGGGGATGCTGGCAGCACCAGGCCAAGGTCCCTGCCCCCCTGGTTGCCCTCCACACACAGGACAACCCATGATGGGGGTGAGGTTGGTGAGAGGGCAGGAACGGCCAACCTCTCGGTCCCTGCCCCTAGCAGGCAGCCTCCCATCACCGATGGCGAACAGAGAATGGGAGTGGGTGGTGGCGGGAGTGCCTGGCCAGCTGCCAGCAGCCGGGGAAGATGGCCCTGATTGCATGCTAGGCCTAGGGACCGTACCCAGGCACGATTTTGTGTGCTGTGTCCATTCAGGTGATGGCATCATGTAGCAATGCCCTGCTTCCTCTCCCTAGTGACTAGCCTCCTTGCAGTTTCTTCAGCCCAGGAATACGACTTGCTTTATAGTCAGGTGGCAACATTTACCCTTTAAACAAATGTCTGTGAAGTGGTTTTCCCGTGCCTCATCTCATTTGATCCTCACAGAAGTCCTGGAGTAGGTAGAGAGGAGACTCAGTGGAATCCTTTTTTCTTTTCATTAGCTGGAAAACAGAGATTTAGAAACTTGACCCGACTGAAAAGAAGTAAGAAATGGTGGACCTTGAAAATGACTTCAGGTTTTCTCACTGACAGAATATAGTCAAACACTGCTGCACTTAAATATTTTACCCTTTGTTCTCCCTGCATGATCCACAATAATAATCTGCTTCATGTTGATATTTACTGCTGTGTTTCTGACAATTACCTGAAAGAGAAGTTGGGGGGCTTCACTGGGCTGGAAAAAATTTAGCTAAATCAGAAAGTGGGTCTGATTAAGCAAGTTTATTCTAGATCTATAAAAGGCTAAGTTGACTTGTGCATGTGATACATATAAAACTTGCTGGCACCAATTGCACACGTGTGTTTCCATATGTCACTGTCAATCATGAATTTGGTTGACCTATTATAGAGAAAGGGTGAAAAGCAATATTAAAATATGTCTTCTAATTAATTTCCTTTCAATGTACAGGAATTAGTGCACTGGGCCACTAGTAGCATAAACATGCTCAGTTTATGACCAGTAACATAAATTGGTCTTAGGGCTTTTTCCACAATTATTCTTGGGTTTCTAGATGCTTCAGATCTTAACTAGCCCAAAAGGTCAGATGCAGAATGATTTCAATCAGGCAGCACGTGTAAGGCTGGGAAGTACATGGGCTGCTCTTTTCATAGGATTAGCAGAAGTGATAGACGGTTAGAGGTAAGACTCAAAAGGAGTCCAAGGACAGGTGTGCTAGGCTTCTAGCACTGTCTGCCCTACTTCCACATGTCAGATGCCCTCATCCTGTACTCTGTCCACCCTCTCCACTGCTTACATGCTCCATGACATACCAGAAGTGCTGCTTTAAAAAAAAATGTTTTTTTATTGATGTTAGCTTGCTTTTCTAACAAAAATAAGTTTCATCCCATGACTTTCTACTTAAATCTTCCAATACCGTTATAAGGTTATTCAGATATACATATCTACTAACATTAGGATAATGAGTACATGGACAATATTGTGTGAAATAAATTCTCTATTGGGTTTTTAAAAACATCTATAGTTTACCTTTCCATAATTTAAAATGACAGTTAATATGAACTGGTAATAAATCTGTTGTTTTGTGTTTTTGCTGTTAGGTAGAAAAGACTTAAGTTTATACTATGAAAATCATGTATTAAAGGAAGAAAGCAATCATCCTTTGGCTGTCCAGAACTAAGTTGATTATATGCTTAGTCACTTAGAAAGTTTCTAAAACTATTAATGGAATATTAGAGCTTATGATGAACAGATTATTTCTTCTCATGTTAGTAGTTATTTTGGTAAGAGTAGCATCTCTTCTTACTTTATTAGGTTATGATACGTATCAAGTAATAAATGGGTGGGATAGTGCTTTTTCAACTATAGAATCTTAAATATAAAGAATCAGTAGTATTAAAGTTGCTGTTTGAATATAAGAAAGTAATAAATTGTTTTTGTTTAGCATCCTTTTATAATACTTTTCTTAACATATGCTAATGGCCTAACTGACTTTGTTTTCTTAAGAAATCTGGGTATGTGGCATAACTTAAATCAGTGGACTACTGGACATATAGGCTCATTAGAAAGGGAAGTGAGTATTTCTTAAAGACAAATGAAACTCTAGTAACTTACTGTGATAATTAATAATAAAGCATAGGCTTCTTTGAGTGTTACAGCACTAAAAAAATAGCTTATATAAACAGTTATACTGTGAAATGATGCTTTTTTTAAAAAAATATTTTATTTTATTTTATTAGTTTGGGAACTCGTTGTTTGAATCTACTTGGTTTCCAGCAGTTCATGGGAGATAATGATATGACCTCAGACTTAGTTGACGAAGGAAAAGAATTAATCAGGCGAGGTAAGATTTATCTTTTTAAATAAATGGAGGAAGAGTACAAGACTCCAAATACAGAATTAATGTTTGTTAATTTATAATATTTATTCTATCTTGGGAAATTGCAAATTAATATTTTTAGCCATAAACCTACATAAAGTCTTCGTAGTAAAAATAATTAGAAAACATAAATGATTTCTCGTCTGTCTTTAGGAAATTTTGCAGTAGAAATTATGTAGTATGTCTGCAGCTAAAAAATGCCCTGGTACAGTGCTGGAGTCATTTTCAGGTTTGCTTTGAGACAGATATGCAAGTTTAGTACATTTGTAAAGCTTATTAATTTAAAAAATCATCAGCTTCAGCCTGAATAGGAATCATTCAGTCCGAGGGTGGATTTTAGAATGTGTGGATGATCACTACCAACCTGTTAGAATACAAGGCTCTCTACTGGAATCTAATCTCAAAACTGAATGCATCAAGTTCCCTGATGTTCAGGTGATGGTAGGAGAGGAAAAAAGGAAAAACAGAACTTGAGTTTGGGGGCAGTGGTACTCTCCCCCTTGGGTCTGGGCTTTTATGTGATCACTAGTGAAATGTAAGCCAGAATTTGTTTCAGCTCTAAAATAAGCTGGGGTAGTCCTCCAGGCCCTCAGAGGAAGGGTGTCTAGTTAATGCAATAGCTCTATTGCTTTTGGCATTAATTAGACTTATCTGGAGCATCATGGCCAGTCCTGGGTAAGACTTTCAAGAGTAAAATGGTAAACCAGAAGGCATTTAGAGGACAGAATTAAGAGTCTGTAAAGCATATCTTATGGGAAAAAGAAAAACAACAACCACCAACCACTGAACATATAGCCATCTATATATATAAAAGCCATATCTCTCTCTCTCTCTTTCTCTCTCTCTCTCTCTCTCTCTCTCTCTCTCTCTCTCTCTCTCTCTATATATATATATATATATATATATATATATATATATATATATGCCAAGTAACTGGAAAGTTGGAATGAGCAGTTGCTTTGATGTGCACTGTGGCCCCAATCGCCCCACCACATCCTGATCAGGGGCAGGGCCTGCTGGACAACTGCCTGTGGCCCCTCCTCCGGGCCAGCCCTGCCCCTGATCACTCCTCTCCCCCGCCCCCAGGCTGCCAACCTCCCCCCAGCCAGCCCAACCCCAATGGCCTCAATCGGGGCAGGCTGACCAGACCCCACCCATACATGAATTCATGCACTAGGCCTCTCGTAAGAGAATAAGATTAAAGACTCTTATGCAGGAAGAATTATGAACTTAATTTAAAAGATAGGACATAAAAGAGAAGTTGCAGAGGAGCAAATTTCCAGTGACCATGGAGAAGAACTTTTTCTCACTGAGACTGGACAGCCTAAAGAGCCATCTCCAGCAAGAGGAAGGTGCTCTCTGTGGAGTTAGGTGATCTCTCAGGCCCTTTCCATCGTAACCTTTTACCTTTGACTTTGTAGTAATTTAAAGGAAATTGGTCATAACCTGATACCTTTACTTAGTTACCCTCCATCTAATTAAGTCATGTTATACCAAATTTGAAATTACTTTTCTTCTCTAGAGAAGAGAAAAAGGCAAAGGCAAGAAGAAGGTGAAAACCGAAGAAGAGTAAGTACAGTACTTATTAAATTGCTGTAACCTAAACATTGATGTGAAATATTAAAAAAAAAATCATACTGATTCAGAATAATGGGCTAGAGACCAGAGAATAGTTAGAAAAGACTTAAGATACATTTTAAAAGAAAGGTAATTTTGCTAGTTTCAGATATACATGCTAGATACCCCGTCAGACATGTTTTAACAAGTCATCTGTGATAAATTCATGTCCAACATCTAGCAGTGTCTTGAATAAGGTAGATGCTCAGTAAATACTTTCTTATTAAATGAATGAATGCATTCATGCAGTCTTGCTATGAAAGTAATTTTAATCAATTTAAAATTATACACTTCGTAATACGACACTACTTTTATCCTCTCTAATTGTTCTTAAGTCTTCTGTTTGCTGAGGCTAATAGCCTCCTCCCAGAGAGTGAAACAAGGAGAAAACCAGGTTCCAGTTTCAGCACGTAGGTGTGTCTGCGCTGGAGACGTGGAGGCGGAGACGTGCCTGTGGTCCTCTGTGCTGAGGGTGTGTCCTAAGGAAGGAGACTTGTGCTTTCTTTGGGAGTCATGACTAGAACCAGAGCGGAAGTTCCTGGCGATGGAGTTCCCTCTGAGAATCTCCATGTTTACCGGGAGTGATCATGCATAGACATCACATGTCACTAGGAGGAGGGCCGGAAGCATCTGCATGGCCACGTTAGAATAAAGCCCTGCACCTCTCGGGAGGTTGAGTTAGGTGACTGCTCACGGCCCTTTCAAATCTCAGAATTTAAAGAGTGGATTCCTAGTTACTATGGTTTTAGTGACGTCCAGACCACACACAATGCCATGGGGAGCCATTATCTAATTATCTTGGCTTACAACTTCAGTTTTGCTATCAAATGTGTTTAGAGACTCTAAATTTGTAGTTAATTCAGGGTGAAGAACATTTTGTTAACATCTCATTAGTTATTTGGCGTTCTCATAACTTCTACATTGTCAAAGTAAGTTTGTTGTAGGTGTAATATTTTAACATTTTAGATAGAAGAATTAAATAACACAATAATCATAGCTAGAAAATATATCTATAAATCTCTTCATTTGAAAAAGTTAAGTTTGGAAATTATTAAAATTATATAGAGATAAGAAAAATGATTGACCTATGATTTTTAAAGGCACTGTGCTAGTTATACTGATTATGTGATGAATTTCTTTTTTTTTTTTTTAATATATTTTATTGATTTTGTACAGAGAGGAAGGGAGAGAGATAGAGAGTTAGAAACATCTATGAGAGAGAGTAATCGATCAGCTGCCTCTTGCACACCGAGCTGCCTCTTGCACACTCAGCCTACTGGGGATGTGCCCGCAACCAAGGTACATGCCCTTGACCAGAATCGAACCCGGGACCCTTCAGTCCCCAAGCCGACGCTCTATCCATTGAGCCAAACCGGTCCCGGCTATGTGATGAATTTCTGATGAAAATAATTAAATTATATTTTCTGCCTGTGAGTGCTTTTGTTATATATTCATCTGTGTTTCTTTCCTAGGAATGGAAAGAACGATATGGGCACAATAGAGAAGATTCCACTAGAAACAGAAATGTTCATATTGATCCAAAAGAGTCAAATTTTTCAGAAATGAGTACGACCCGACGTGAGTAGTTTATTGTCTGCTTGTGTTTTCTTGTGCTTGCCTTCAGTGACACAGTTTTCATCCCCTAGTGTATTGGAGGCAAGGATCCTCAAATGTGCATTCTGGTAGGAGGAGGGGACATCTGAGCTATCGGTGAGCAGTTGTGATCGTACTATCCTAATAACATGCTTATCCCAGGCATAGTCTAGGCCAGTGGTCGGCAAACCCATCAGTCCACAGAGCCAAATATCAACAGCACAACAACTGAAATTTCTTTTGAGAGCCACATTTTTTAAACTTAAACTTCTTCTAACGCCACTTCTTCAAAATAGACTTGCCCAGGCCGTGGTATTTTGTGGAAGAGCCACACTCACGGGGCCAAAGAGCCACATGTGTCTTGAGAGCCGCAGTTCACCAACCACTAGTCTAGGCAGATACTGATTTCTATTATTTACCTAGATGTTTTTTGTTTGTTTCTAATTTCAAAATAGTTTTTATTGATCTCAGAAAGGACAGGAGAGGGAGAGAGATGGAAACATCAGTGATGAGAGACGATTGTTGATTGGCTGCCTCCTGCAGGCCCCACACCGGGAATCAAAGCTTAACCTCCTGGTTCATAGGTTGATGCTCAATCACTGAGACATGTCAGCCAAGCTAGATGTTTTTCTTTACTTTTCTATGGGTAGAGTTAAGCCTCAATTCAGTCATGTTTATAATAGTTTACTGACTGGCCCATATATGTCGGGCACTTTCCCAGCTGCTCATAATGTATTGAGGGACTTGACGCCAGGCTGGGGGCATTTGTCAGTGGTTGAATAAAGAAACTCCCCCACGTCCTTAATCCTACCCTCTGCTACCACCTGCCCCTGGAAGGGTGGTGGGAAGGCTGTGTTTGTGCAGAACCAGCACTATTTTTGGGGGGAGAGCTGTGGGAACTCAGCTCGGGTGATGGGAGAAATTCTCTATGGAGAAAGGATTTCTGTGATAAAGAAGTACTTCACTGAGTGCGCACAAGGAATAGTACTCAGCCTGGTGAAGGTGCTTTAGGCAGAAGGACTAATGGGTGACAGGAGAGAACCTTTGGGGAAATGCAAGTTTTCCTCTGATTAGAGCCCAAGTATGAGGAGCCTGATAAGGGGAGGCAACAGAGATAGTGGGGCCCTAAGAGCAGAGACCCTGAGATACAGAGGAAAGGATGGATTTGAAGGACACGTGGGTTAGAAGGAAGAGGGAAGAGCTAAAGTTTAGTTAAAGCTAGGATTAGAGGGAAGATTTTACAGAAAAATTTGGAAGCTTGCTTACCATGGACTAGGAGCCAGCAGTGGGAGGATCTGAGAGTGTGGGAGAAGGGCTAAGAGGTGAAGAGAAGAGATGATGAGCTAGAGAGACCTGGCAGGTGGTAGGCAACCAGTATTTGCTGAATGAGTGAGAGAAAAGATGAAGGGTTGAGTCCAAGATGACAAAAAGGAGAGATATGATAAAACTGACCTCGATCATAAGTCGTGCTGGAGCTCTCGGGCTGCTCAGAGGTACATTGTGAGAGTTTAGGTTGTTATGAAGAAAACCCATCCAGGCAGGATGGAGGGTTAGTGCTCTAGATCTGTGCCCACCAGGAGGGAGCCAGTAGTCACATGTGACTGTCCAGCATTTGCAGTGTGCCTGGTGCTCCACGATGAATGATAATATTTCAGATATATTTGGTTAAATTAAATATATTAAAATTCATTTCCCCTATTTCATTTTACTTCTTTAATGTAGCTTTTTAAATTTACTTCTTTAATGTAATATGGGGCTTGCATTTCATTGGCTGGACATTGCTGCCTTAAACTCTTGCCCATTGGGAAAAGGATTCAGGCCATTTTCTTTTTTTTATTTAATTTACTGGGGTGACATCAGTTAATAAAATTACATAGTTCAGGCCTTTCTTAAAGAGCTGGAGTTGAGGGTTTGTGTTTTTACAACCCCAAGTCAAGTAACACACGATACAATATAAGATGATGTATTGTAGAATTATATAACTGGAACCTATATAATTTTGTTGACCAATGTCACCCCAGTAAATTCAGTTAAAAAAAAAAAAAAAAAGAGCTGGAGTTGAGTTTACCTTAAAGAAAATCTTAGCCAAGAAATGAGATGTAGCAGCCACAGCCCCTGTAAAACCAACTGAAACTTGATTTCATTATCAATAATTTTACTGCTATGATACTATTGTTAAATATTAACTCATTCATAGTAATTAAGTCTTTGCACTGTAGTTGCTACTGAGCTTAGATCAGTTTATAATAGAGGTCATTTATCATTAATTTTTGTCATCTTGGACTCAACCCTTCATCTTTTCTCTCATTCATTCAGCAAATACTGGTTGCCTACCTCATTTTTCCTTGTTTTCTATCATATTATTTATCATTTTAATCTGATTATAAGGAACAGTGTATCATTTCCTAATCCTGCTGTCACAATCAAAATCAAGATCTTTTACAATAGAAAAATAAACATGTTCTTTTTTCTTCCTTTGCAGCAGCATCTAAATATACGAGGGCCAATAATAGGACGGAGAGGGACCGCATAGAACTCTTACAAGATGTAGAACCTTTGGATTTTAATGCAGAAGCATTTACTGATGATCCTCTCGAAGCTGAATCAGGAAGGTGAGTCCCAGCTGTGTCATGTTGGCTCTAGCGTGTCGCTGAAATCTTAGTGACATACTGGCCTGATGAGATAAATAAACATAAGGAAAATGTTCATTTTTACTACTGAAAAAAAGCATAGGAAGCCCAGCCCGTGTTGCTCAGTGGTTGAGAGTTGACCTATGAAGCAGGAGATCATGGTTTTATTCCCGGTCAAGGCACATGCCCAGGGTTGTGAATTTGATCCCCAGTACGGGGCATGCAGGAGGCAGCTGATCAGTAATCAACATCATTGATGTTTTTCTCTCTCTCCCTCTCCTCTCTGAAATCAATAAAAATATTTTTAAAAGCATATTAAGCAACCTTTGATGCCTTTTTATACCTTCTAATGCTTTTCTGTTTTTAAAATTATAGCATCCAGTGCTGGTAACTGAAATCTTAATAAACTGCTAATGACATTACAAATTGATAATAAGAGATTGTTAACAATGTCTGTCTCTGACAATCTCATTTATGAAATTTATCATATTTAACAACAGCCTCCTCACTATGACTGGGTATTAGACACTATTCTAAGCACTTTTATAATGATATTGTATCTTATGGATATAAATCCAATTGGATTTGAACCCAGAGAGGCGAGGTAACTTACCCAGTGTCACACAGCTTGTAAATGGCAAAGTCAGGTATCCCCAGGACTTTGGCTACAGACTCTGTGCTTTTAGCCATGATACTATGTGGAAATAGACAAAAACAAAATATCATATGCATGAAGATATTTGCTATACTATTGCCTGTGAATAGCAAATATGTTCTATTTATATTCAACATTCAAGAGCGGTTATAACATGCTTTAAGTTCCATAGCGTGTTTTACATCTCTCCCCACCTTTCCTTGTACATCTCTCAGCCTGTGAGCCATGCATTCTAGGCTCTACACAGATAGTTGTAAATTGATTTATAACTAAGTAAATCCCTTTGGGACAATATCCTTGGAAAATAGGTTTCTAATTTCAGCTACTGAATAGATACTACAGTGCTCACAAATTATGTAGCCACTTCCTTTGAATGTGTCCTTGTTTTTCTCTCCTCCTTTATTATTCTTATCTCAGATCATATTTTCCTCCATCTTTCAGGTATCAGCCTGGTGGACGATACCTCTCGATGTCTCGCAGCAGAATATTTGATGATGTTTGAAGTCTGAAAGAAGTCATGGATTAACTGACCCAAGATATATATATATATATATATATATATATATATATATATATATATATATATGAATACCTGTATATTTTAAAATGTACACTGTATTCCCAATGATAAAAAAAAAGATACTGAAAATCAGTCACATCTTAGTAATCATAGTCCATTCTCCACTGAATAGAGTATCATGTTTTCTAATAGAATTTATTGCATACCACTCCTGAAGTGTCTGCCTTTTTTGGAAGTACAGTTAATTCATGGAGGGATTTAGTTCATGATAGAGATCAGTATATGTTGAGAACATGTAGTTCAGTTTGTTTCAGATTATTTTTTTTTTTTTCAGTAAAGTTGATGTGAAGCTCCAAGGAAGCCCCAAGTCAAACCGTAATATTATACCACTTTATTTTGATTGACATTTTTTCTGTTTCTAAAGAATATGTTAACCTTGTATTTCCCAAAGAATTGAAGACCATGATAACCATATTTGCAAAACCCATGTCTTAAAACAAGACTTACCTACCCAACATAACGAGGTGTAAAACGTTCTTTTCCAGCTCTGTGTGCGTTTGGTGAGGTCTTTGCATGTACAGTTCAGACTGGACTTCAGCGGCCGTGCTGGTGCCCGCGGCACGTGGGTGGTGATGGGCGAGTGGAACTCTCCGGTCGTTGGCAGTAACCGGAAGCTGTCAGTGCTTTGCCGTGTCTTATAAAAGATGCTCATTCCGAGAGAAGTGTCCACGTTTCTTGCTGAGCATGTTGATTTAAGTCTTGATTATTCCATTAAGGAGAAGCGGACACAGTCATGGTAAATGGTGTCGTTTTTTTTACAACACCTACAGAATTCTCTAATTTTTAAAGATGCCTATTTATGCTTTTTGAAAAAGAACATCTTGATTATTCAAAGGCAAAAAGTGAATTCATTTTCTGTTGTTACTACTAATAACATTTAGATTGTGGCTTATAGCCAACAGAAAACTACAGGCCTGCTTTGGAGATGTTGTGGATTTGGTTCCAGACCACAACAATAAAGTGAATCTAGTATTGTTGCTGGTGGAGGGTATTGCCTTTAATTTAGGGGGGGGGAAAAACACACCAAAAAACCATAACATGTCTAGGACACAATAAGGCATAGCACAATAAAATGAGTTATCTTTATATATTAGAATGGAAATATATAATAGCTTGGTTTAAACATGCTAACTAATTGATTTTTTAACCTTTGTGGTTAAGTCAGAGTTAGGTGTTATATTTTAAATCATCACATTACTCACTGAATATAGTGGAGCAAAACATGTTTACAGAGAAGTTTTTATGTCCCTGAAATGTTCACCCATCTTAGAGGACCATGATAAGATTCACCTAGTGGTGACAGTACTTGAACTTGCCCACGCAGTCTCAGTTACAAACCTCTTGTCCTGTGGAACTTGTCTTATGCTCACATTCACTCTTGAGCATTCCAGTTTGAAGATGAATTATATAGTCACTCTAACAATACGATTATATGTTTCTTTAAAATAATCTTTCCTGAAACATGATTTTTAATTTTAATTTTTCTCTTAGGGTTATCATGTGAATTTGTAAAGACACAGTTCTCTGCAGATACTGAAAGGGGTAGTATATCATCCTATTTATCTAATTTTATTCAATTTTTATGATTTTTTTAGATTAGCTTCCCTTTAACGTAATTACCAATGGGTAGATTTTACACTCATATAGAGTGTCCATTTGAGATTACACATACACACCCTTTTATTGTGAAGTGTATTTCTAGCAAAATTGGCCAGGAGCAGAGATAATTTAACATTGCTCATAACTTCATGATTGACCATGGAATACCTTGGGCAAGTCATGTAACCTCTTGCTGCCTCAGTTTCTTCATTTGCAAAATGAAGATGATAACTTGCTATTTATTGACTGATCTACCTCACAGCGCTATTGTGAGGGTATTGAGTTGATGTTGATATGGTGGAATTTAAAAAGAAAACAAAATCTGTCATTAGCTGTCCTGTTCTTTCTAGTCTATTTGAAGGTGTGGATGGGAAATGATTACCCCACAGAGGGATCCAGTTTTAATTATTACAGAGAACCCTACAAATCCCCTAAGTGGAAACTTTTGGGAAATTCACCAAAAGTCTTCTGAAAATAGTACTGTTTTATTATTTTAGTTTTGGGGTTTCTTTGGAATATTTCTCTTAAGTATAATGGTGTTTCTCGCCAGATTTTCTCATAAAACTCACGTCATTATAGAAGCTGCAGAAGAAAACGAGAAGAAATCATCAGTTACTTTTATAACTTATAGTTACCTAAGATAAATTGATAGGAAAATGTAAGGGAATGTACTGTTCTCCTTTATTATTTTTTTTAATTATTTGAATAATCAAAGTATTCTGCTTCATGAACAAGAGATCCCTTTATGACTTCTGAATGATTTTCCCAATAATTTTGGTTACGTGATCCAGAGTACTGGGCTTTTGAAGCAGAATTTATCTTACAGGGTTTTCTATATGATCAGGTAGGAAGGTTACCTGGTAAATTTGAGTTCAGAAAGTAATGATTTAATCCCTGAAGACAGTTCATTGCTAGGGACCTAAGTAAGCCACCTTGTATAAAAATCTGTAGTTAAGTACAAAAGAGTTTCTTTTTGAAAAGCTTATTAAAATGTAATGGCATCTACTGTAAAACATTACTACTCAGTTAATGTGCTTCACATGCACTCTTTTCTTGCAGAGTTACTTCTGGCAATTACCTCTTGAAGTCAGACGTCTTTCTTACATAATAATGGATATCTGATTAAATTTTCTATATTATTTTTCTAAATAATTGTTAGGTAAGCATATTCAGTAAGCTGGTGATTCAAAGTAATCATTGCAGAAAAGAACGAATGATCTACTGATTTCATGAAGCATCTGTAAGTGGCTAATTAAGTTTTGTTACTCTGCCAATAATGCATTGTTACCAATAGAGCATTTAAAAATATATATATTTTATTGATTTTTTACAGAGAGGAAAAAAGAGGGATAGAGAGAGTTAGAAACATCAATGAGAGAGAGTCATCGATCAGCTGCCTCTTGCACACCCCCCACTGGGGATATGCCCGCAACCAAGGTACAACATGCTCTTGACCGGAATCGAACCTGGGATCTTTCGGTCCGCAGACCAATGCTCTACCACTGAGCCAAACCGGTTTCGGCCCAATAGAGCATTTTTGTAAAGCTCATTACTAAACTAGGAAAATAAGATATAAGCCTAGCTATTAGAATTTGTTCTCTCACCAAATGAATACAAGGGCTTTGGGATAATTTCATCACTCAAGAGCCCCTCCTTTCACAAGAGCTAAATCAAAACACCCAATGGTTCTTTAGTTATAAAAACAGGCCAGAGAATGTGACAGTCCCAGCCTTTGGGAAGAAATGCCCCCAGTTGGTTAGTTTGGGAGTCTACTATTTACTAGATTATCAGTTCTTATATTTATGCCTTTTGTGTACCCAAATGATGGGAAAGGCAATGTGTGTCTTCTTAAGTATGTTTCAGCACATGAATGAAGGAATTTCACTTATGTACAATAGCAAACCTCACTCTTTTATACATTTAATAGGTTTAGGGGTGTGGTGGTTACCATTTTAAGGGAAAAATAAACTCTATGTGATTATAGTTCACACTGCTCAGTTTTGTGAGTTTTATGCTTGTGATTTGTATGGACCATGTCTGAAAATCACAAGGATGAATATATTTACACCTACATTTCCTATCATGGTCAGCCTGATTTTCCAAAAGATTGGTCCATTAAGGTTGATGGGAGCCTTGTTATAATTTCGTTTGTGAATAAAGCAAAAATAATGGCACGTTCCTCTTTTCATATCGCTATTCCAAAAGACTTTTGTTTTTGACACAGTCCCTGGGGAGCATTAACTTCTTTCTCCTGAAAATACTTTCTTTTGTGGTTATCTCGATCTCAAATTATTTTTGCACAAAGAGACTTTACTGTGCTTACTGCAAAAAGAATAGAAATAAAAGAGAGTTCATGTAAAGTGGAATTTCAGATTAGAAACAATACTATTTACCATGGCAGACATATGAAGGGTAAAGTTAAAATGTATTAATTTGACTATACAACACATTTAGAGTTGATATAATTGACATAAACCTTATCAACCTCGTCGCTTGGAACTGTATTTCTCAAAAGAATGCTGGCTAGCATCTTCCCTACTTACTACACCAAATTGTAGGGGAGAAACTGTGTATTTTTTTTAAAAGCAATCCAATGGATTTGTTCTTGTCCATATTTTGAAAACGAGCTTGAGGAATTTTTCTTATTTTAGAAGGTAGGGAACATGTGGAACTGTCTTTTAAATTACTGTAATTAATATATATTTATAAATTATAGCGTTAAAACAAATCTGATATTGATGTTACTTCCTGGTATTTAATTTTTATAAAATGTTTTTGTAAGTAACTAATTGTAATATTTCTCTTGTGTAGTTTCAGAAACCTTTCTGCCAGAACCTCTTTCCTTAGGGCAATATTCTAAAGTTCAGTAGTTCAGCGTGAATTTGAAATGTTCTCACTTCTCTTCAGTCTCTTTTAATATATACAAGTACCCACGCAAAGTACACCAAAAGCCTAATTTCTGAGTTGCATTAATAAAGTATATGCTAATTATCCAATTCAGTGGATTAGGTGAAATAAAAGATAAGTCTTTCAAATATGTATCTGATCATAATTTTTCAAAATATTATGTTCATTTTTGGTGCATGATGCCAAATAATCTGAAATCAGCCATTATTGCTTAATATGTAATGACAAATGTTTTTCTGTCTGATCAGTGGATTGTAGATTTCATTATTTTTCTCTGCAGATAATCACTGCATTTTTAAATTGATTTGGAAGAAGCTTGCAAAGTGCTAAGTAAATTCACATATTGGGCCTTATCTATGTATATTTTGACAAACTCATGGACTTGGAATTGCTCTGTAGTATTTTAATTTATTGTG